GAGGAGTTGACACTATAGCTCGCCCCTCGGCGAGGGGGAGGGGTGGGGGGAAATCAGGAGACGCCTGTTATTCTTCGGTCACCGAGCCGTTGAGTCCCTTCGTGTCGGGGCAGCCGTTCATCTTGTAGTCCTCCTCCATGCTCTCGTGGATGTCGTACTCCTCGTCCAAAAAGTCCAATGAGTTGTTACTGGGCAGGCCCCTGATGGTGAACTTGTTCGACACCCGCATCCACTTGACGCGGTTGGCCGCCACGATGTCGTAGAGCTCCTCCGAAAGAGGGAACAGATCTTTCAACAACCTGCAAAGAGAGAGAGAGAGAACGCGGGTCAGAGGTTCCTGGGTTTGGTACTGGTACTCCATTGCTAGACTGGTGACTGAACCGCATAACGTCATTGGTTGCTAGGATGCACATTATAATAAACTATCATGCTGTGGGGCCGCCAGTATCTTAGCAACCAATGACACTGAGCGGGTCACACAGCATCATTGGTTACTAGGCTGCTAGAGGCCCCATAGGATCATTTTTGTGCACCCGGCTGTGTCTTGGCACACTGGGTTCAGTTTGCTTGGACATTCACCTATCCGGATCCCTTTCTGGATTCAGTGCAAGTCCACGTGAACTGAAGTCAGGTTCTGACCATGCTGACCAATGAGAAGTGCTTCTGACCATGCTGACCAATGAGAAGTGCTTCTGACCATGCTGACCAATGAGAAGAGCTTCTGACCATGCTGACCAATGAGAAGCGCTTCTTAGCAAGAAGCGCTACTCATTGGCCAGCGCGGTCAGGTGACAACTGTGCAAGACTGAAGGGAAGGATGGAGTTCTGCCTAAATGTATCCCTTGAAGAGAATCCGTACTTTGCTCAGACTAAGGAGAATCACATTTGTAGAAGGGCCCATAAGGAGTGAGTACTCCCTTCTCTTAGCATCCCTACAACCCAGATATAGCCGGTATTTCCAGGTATGGGGGAACATGCAACACTTCCCCGCCTCCCACAATGGAGTCATAGTTTCAGGTTTGTACATAGGGTGACATTATAGGCGGAGGAGGTGGTGATGGAGACGGCCATGGTGCAACCTCACTCACTTGTAGATGGGCATGGCGATGTGTTCCATGAAGCTGATCTGGAGTTCCGGGATGTAGGCCTTCTCGCGGTCCATCATCTCACTGGGTCGGTTCCCCATGGCTTTCTCCTGCACAGGGACAAGATTCAATTACTATACTGTGACCATGAGCTTGGTGCAGTCACATCCAATGCTAGGTGGGCAGAGTGTGCGCATTTGTGTTGGGTGGAGACCCTTTATTTATAGCGCGTGTAGTTGTGACGGACTGAACCGTCACTGGGGCTGCTGGAGGAGCCTGAGGGCCGGCCTCCTTCCTACTGACTACGGACCTAGGGCTGCTGGAGGAGCCTGAGGGCCGGCCTCCTTCCTACTGACTACGGACCTAGGGCTGCTGGAGGAGCCTGAGGGCCGGCCTACTTCCTACTGATTACGGACCTAGGGCTGCAGAGATTTATTACGCCGGAGAACTTTGGTTGCTGGGTGTGTTTTCCTGTTTAATATTTTATCTAGAGAGAGAACTTTTCACTATTTGAATTGATTTGAACCATCCGGGCTTCCATCTTGTTTGGATATCATCTCTGCTAAACATAATTTTGTGAAGGCAGCCGGCTGTCTGGAGTGGCCATTGCTTGGGATGATGGGATCAAGATCTTATCTAATTAAGGACATTCATTAGGTTCAAAGAGTGTCTGTGCTGAAGGAATTCCAATGCGGCACCCGGCTGTCTAGGGGAGGGGATTGGTCAAGGTAACACACTGAACTATATTCACTGGCTTCTAGTTCCAGCACCCAGGGAACAGGCTTAGGATGGAGATATCCAGTCGGGGGTTTCAGGGAGTCCGTCACAGTAGTCAAAGGGTCTTCTTGCTCCTCTGGATGGAGATGTGCCTATTCCTATTCCGAGTGGCCCCAGTGTCTCTCTTTGTGTTGGATGGAGCCGGTGGACCTCCCTGTTCTAGTCTGGGACAGTGTCATGCGTAGTATTAGTGTAGGTGGAGCCACCATGTCGTCCTATGTTGTGTGGAAGCGGTTCTCTATCCGCAGAGGTTCTGGTTGGAGGCCATGTCTCTTCCTATTGTGGTTGGAGTCAGGGTGTTCATACTGTGGGTGGAGATGGTACAGTATCTGTCGTACTCACCAGGTCTCCCTGAGAGAAGAATTCTTTGTAGATCAGCTCCTGGAATAGAGAGAAGAGATACACGTCAGCCATGTTTTATCACCTACAGTTCCCTGTTCTGTCTTATCCGATCCAACACGGTAATGACTAATGTATTCTATCTATGCATTCCCTTCCGGAGGACTCTCAGTCTGCATAGAACACATTCCAGGTCCTCTGCAGATCGAAGAATCCTAACCCGACTGCTACACACCCGCTGAATGCCTAAATCTGGCTTGCTGTAGGAGTGGCTGCTCTGTGCCATGATGGGCGGGATGGGGAGGTGATATATTATTATTATTATTATGCAGGATTTATATAGTGCCAGTTTGCGCAGCGCTTTACAATATAGAGAAGACATTACAATCACAATACAATTCAAGACAAGATGGTGAGGGCCCCGCCCCTGAGGGATTACAATCTAAAAGGAAGGGGGAAGTGATACATGAGGAGGGAGCTGCGTGGCTATAAAAAAGTCAACTCAGAATGGGCGTCACCATCACGACACATGACTCCGGAGAGACGCTCCCGAACTTACCGCAATCTTCCTGGTGGTGGTCCAGCCTTTGGTTTGATCAGAGAGGTCACAGGAGGTCATGAGGAGGCAGGTCAGGAGGTCGTGGTGGTGCTTGTTTTTGGGGTCATATCCATCTGCGGGTGACAAGGAACACGGAATGAAGTGAACAGATTCAAAGCCGGGAAAAGTTTTCACCTGACTATGGAAGTCTTTTGTGTTTTCCATTTTCGGACTGAACTTGTCAGAGATATTAAAGATTAACGGGAATCTCATTGTTAGAAATTCTTTTATTGCTGCTGGTTTGTTTGTCACCACTAGATGGAGACATTTCCCTACAATTCATCCCCCCGACCTCCCCAGCATAGAAGTATTATCAACCAGTTCAGCTCCAACCCCTGTGCACCCCCACAATGGTGAAGAGTGATCTCTACATTTCTCCTATTACATGAGAGTATTACATAGATCGGTTGTTTTTTCAGGACAAACAAGATTTTATTTTGGTGATGTTGTCTTGCAAAAGAAAAGTGACAAAACTAAACAAAAAAAACAAAAAAAACTTTAATCAGTGTAAAATTAAAAAAAAATATGTTGTTACTATAGATAAAAGTAAAAACTTTATTCCTTTTATCTCATTTGTCCTATATAAAATGACAACAAAAAAGAGATTTTGCTACAACTCATTGCAGAGCTATTTACTAATTAAATAAAGACTTTTCATTTTTGCCTTTATAGCAACATAAAATTAGAAGGACATGACATACTACATACGCCCAGTGTATATCAATGAAGTTGTTTGTGCGTGTAGTACGCTCTGTATCCACGACTAGGAAGAGCTGGCTATGACTAGGAATCAGATTCTTCTTTAGCTGCGGTTTCCTGTTACACCTCAGATGGACGATGTCCCCCAACAATCCATGTTCTCTCTGGATGAATGTATTGTTACAGTGTATCTAAACTCATGAACACAAAATGTAGTCTATTGGAGCTCTCCGGTCCTTGGATGTGGTGGCTGCATTCATTTTTTCCTGGTCACCCAATGTCCAAATTTGTCTTTATTGACGTGTGTACATCTGGTAATAGGCAATGTTTCAGGGCCACGTAGGGTCCCTTCATCAGGCATACTCTGAGGGGCCCCTATTGTGGGAATAGTTTGGATTTCCTCCCGTATGTGTCCTCTCTGCTGGCCGGGTAATGTTATATAGTGCACACGTAGTTCTGGCAGAGAGCCCCGCGTACACAAGGTCTCTGTATACACCGTATACACTGCTCGTTACCTTTTGCCATTTTCTGGAGATCCTTGAAGATTCGTAGATGATGTGCCAGATCGGTGGCCAGGATAATGTCTCTCATCAGATCCAGCATCCTCTGATAGTCCTGCACAATGTCAGGTAAGAAAGAAATGTTAATGACTGAGTTCCCAGAATCCAGCGGGAGTGACTTGCATAGGACACTGCCCCCCCCTGTTGTACCTGATACCAATATATAGATTAGCAGCGGCCACAGAGGAGGCTGCAGGCTGAAGGCAACATAGAGGTTAGCAATGGAGAAGAGCCAAATTCCTAGCCGGGCTGGATATGTGGAATGGATCCGGGGTTGATCTGAGATGAATCTGAAATGGATCTGGGGTATGTCTGTCCATGAAACTTCTCATTCATCCAGGTCATGGTATATCTGTAAAAAACGAGTCGAGGCAACTGGACTTGCTGTATTATTTTTGAAGACGTTTCGCTGGTCTTCCGACTCGTTTTTTCAAGTCTGAATTGAGAAAGCTGGTCGGATGACCAGCAAAACGTCTTCAAGAATAGTACAGAAAGTCCAGTTGCTTTGATTCATTTTCTACAGATATATAGGGTAGATCGGGATGCATCTCAGGAGAATCAGATGAATTTGGGATGGATTTGAAGTGGATCTGGAATGCATATAGAATGGATCTGGGGTAGATCTGTAATGCATCTCGAAGAATGAACACGGAATGGATTGGAGTAGATATGGAAAGCATCTGGGGTAGATATAGAATGGATCTGTGGTAGATATGGATTGGGTTAGATATGGAATGATTCTGGGGTAGATATGGACGCATTTGGGATGGATATGGAATGGATCTGGAATGGATCTGGAGTAGATATGGAATGGATCTGGGGTAGATATGGAATAGATTGGGGTAGATATAAAATGGATTGGGGTACACATGTAATGGATCTGGGATGGATATGTAATGGATCTGGGATAGATATGGAATGGATTTGGGGTAGATATGGAATGGATCTGGGATAGATATGGAATGGATCTGGGATAGATATGGAATGGATTTGGGGTAGATATGGAATGGATTGGGGTAGATATGGAATATTTTGGGGTAGATATGGAATGGATTGGGGTTCATATGGAAGTGATGCATCTGGGGTAGATATGGAATGGATTGGGGTTCATATGGAAGTGATGCATCTGGGGTAGATATGGAATGGATTGGGGTACACATGTAATTGATCTGGGATGGATATGTAATGGATCTGGGATAGATATGGAATGGATTTTGGGTAGATATGGAATGGATTGGGGTACACATGTAATGGATCTGGGATGAATATGTAATGGATCTGGGATAGATATGGAATGGATTTGGGGTAGATATGGAATGGATTTGGGGTAGATATGGAATGGATCTGGGATAGATATGGAATGGATTTTGGGTAGATATGGAATGGATTTTGGGTAGATATGGAATGGATTGGGGTAGATATGGAATATTTTGGGGTAGATATGGAATGGATTGGGGTAGATATGGAATATTTTGGGGTAGATATGGAATGGATTGGTTCATATGGTTCATATGGAAGTGATGCATCTGGGGTAGATCTGGATGCATCTGGGGTAGATATGGAATGGATCTGGGGTAGATCTGGATGCATCTGGGGTATATATGGAATGGATCTGGGGTAGATCTGGATGCATCTGGGGTAGATCTGGATGCATCTGGGGTAGATATGGAATGGATCTGGGGTAGATATGGAATGGATCTGGGGTAGATATGGAATGGATCTGAGGTAGATATGGATGCATCTGGGGTAGATATGGAATGGATCCGGTGTAGATCTGGATGCATCTGGGGTAGGTATGGAATGGATCTGGGGTAGATATGGAATGGATCCGATGTAGATCTGGATGCATCTGGGGTAGATATGGAATGGATCTGGGGTAGATATGGAATGGATCTGGGGTAGATATGGAATGGATCTGGGGTAGATATGGAATGGATCTGGTGTAGATCTGGATGCATCTGGGGTAGATATGGAATGGATCTGGGGTAGATATGGAATGGATCTGGGGTAGATATGGAATGGATCTGAGGTAGATATGGATGCATCTGGGGTAGATATGGAATGGATCCGGTGTAGATCTGGATGCATCTGGGGTAGGTATGGAATGGATCTGGGGTAGATATGGAATGGATCTGAGGTAGATATGGAATGGATCTGGGGTAGATCTGGATGCATCTGGGGTATATATGGAATGGATCTGGGGTAGATCTGGATGCATCTGGGGTAGATCTGGATGCATCTGGGGTAGATATGGAATGGATCTGGGGTAGATATGGAATGGATATGGGGTAGATATGGAATGGATCTGAGGTAGATATGGATGCATCTGGGGTAGATATGGAATGGATCCGGTGTAGATCTGGATGCATCTGGGGTAGGTATGGAATGGATCTGGGGTAGATATGGAATGGATCCGATGTAGATCTGGATGCATCTGGGGTAGATATGGAATGGATCTGGGGTAGATATGGAATGGATCTGGGGTAGATATGGAATGGATCTGGGGTAGCTATGGAATGGATCTGGGGTAGATCTGGATGCATCTGGGGTAGATCTGGATGCATCTGGGGTAGATCTGGATGCATCTGGGGTAGATATGGAATGGATCTGGGGTAGATCTGGTATGTGTCTAGGGTGGATCTGAGATGGATCTGGGATGAATGTGGGATAGCTCTGGGACTGACCTGGGTGAATCCAGGATGAATCTGCAGTGAATCCAGGATGAATCTAACAAGTACCTGCAGCTATTGACCAATCTAGGAACTGTGAACACAATACTCCCCCCACTGTGTCACTGCGAGTTAAGTGATGTCACTTAGGTAAATATGGTGAACGTCGCTCCAATCAAGATAATCTATTTATGATAACCAGCACGGGGTCAGAGAGCTCATGGAGGGAAGGTGATGATTGTATGATTGGAGCCTAGGAGGTGTTATTAATCTGCCCAGAGAGCGGTGTTAAAACAGCATTGTATGTGGCAGAATGTTGGCGGGACACTCCCGAGCCTCATTATTTGCCGTCTTTACACTGGTTTAGCAGGGTGAGAACAGATGGCGCGGGAACGAGGCCCCGGAGAATACGAGCCACATTGCAAATACGGAACAGCAAGCTCAGCAATGACAGGAAAACGTGACAATCCGTGTGAAAGGAGCGACTCCGCTTCCCGCGGGACGCACACATCTGTTCTCCTAATCCCCGATCCGTCCGAGCCTGCGTTATCACAGCGACATCAGCCACCGCTGCCGGGACGCCGAGCCCCTCTCCAGCACGTAACCGCCGGCAGAACGGAGCCCGGAACACCACGCGCCTTCGCAGTGCGTACCGAGCGGAATTCTGATTTCTACACGTCGGCAGAGCACCTCTGTGACCTCTAATGATCGTCCTCGTTACAGCCGCAACCTCTCATCCTGGGACTGGATACAATGTTATAGTCTGATCACTGGGGGAGGGGAGACTGAGGAAATGCTTCCTCCTGCCTGCAGCAGACTGATCACTGGGGGAGGGGAGAGTGAGGAAAGGCTTCCTCCTGCCTGCAGCAGACTGATCACTGGGGGAGAGGAGACTGAGGAAATGCTTCCTCCTGCCTGCAGCAGACTGATCACTGGGGGAGGGGAGACTGAGGAAATGCTTTCTCCTGCCTGGAGCAGACTGGTCACTGGTGGAGGGGAGGCTGAGGAAATGCTTCCTCCTGCCTGCAGCATTCTGATCACTGGGGGAGGGGAGAGTGAGGAAAGGCTTCCTCCTGCCTGCAGCAGACTGATCACTGGGGGAGAGGAGACTGAGGAAATGCTTCCTCCTGCCTGCAGCAGACTGATCACTGGGGGAGAGGAGACTGAGGAAATGCTTCCTCCTGCCTGCAGCAGACTGATCACTGGGGGAGGGGAGAGTGAGGAAATGCTTCCTCCTGCCTGCAGCTTTTCATGATATGTGGGCAGCCATATTTGTCCTTGATATAGACAGGATCTGCTTCCTCTTTAGTAGTGCTGCACAATGTTCCTTCTCATCTCACTAGAACTCAATGGACTCTGCAATGACCTCCAGAGCCGCAGCTTGGGATTCACTTTTTTAATTCTTCGTAAGACTCTAATACCCAAATCTCGTGTGATGAGGATGAGGATGACGGGTCCCCTTTAGATCGCTCACCTTCCTGTTGAACTGTTCGAAGATATTGCAGCCCTGCGAGTTGATGATGGCGATCGCCTGAGCGAAGTGATGTCTCTGCGGGGGGAGACACAGGATAGAAGTCAAGGTGAGGTCTTTAGGAGCTGGGCGGGGAGATGTTACAG